TATGTTTTTTTTTCTTCAATCTCCTATCTCGCATCATTAGCATCATTAGATACATTTGAGCCCCTAAGATTAGTTTTTTTTTTTTCACAAATCTTTTCCTTTTCTCATGTTGAACTAATTTTTCAAAAGTAGTATGCCATATAACTCTTTCAAGACATTAATGCTATTTTTTTTAGATGGTGCCATTCATAGTTCCGTAGTACGATCAAAGCAATCGTTTTGATAACGGAATATATGATCATCGTGTAACTATCGACAATGACCTAAAAAATAATTCTTTTTAGTTTTGTACAACTATTCTAAAGATGTGGACTTAGCACAATACAAACATGCAAACTTTCCTTTCTTACTCCAATTGGATAAATTCGCATACGTAGAAAAGTTACTTACTCGTCCATATAAAAATAGCTCACATATTAAATGAATTTTTTATAAAAGCATCATAAGTTTTTATACCTACCCATAATTTTTCAAATCTACTATCAAATATTGCATATATACATCAATATCATTTTCTAGGCTATTCACATATGAAATAACTATTGATAAGATGAATGATGATTGTTTCACACAAATCCAGGGTGAAGTATTATATATAATCACACAAGATGCCATGTGCTATATGTAGTACCCATTGTTCTAAAAGGATTAAAACCATCATTAGCAAGTGTGAGTCTTACATTACAAAATCTAAAGTAAAGTCTAGATATTGACCATTAAAAGCTTCTATGCTTCTCCATCTACAGGATGCCTTGACAATCCATTTTTCGTATGAACTTCCTCATGCCATCTCATATCAATCATAGTTTTGTTTGAACAAAATAACCTTTAAACATGCTATCAAAGAAAAGTAACGCAATACTTCCACTAGTTTTTTCTTCTTAGCACTTAAAGTTTTCATCAAACCATTATCACCTTTCGTGTTGTTCTACCTTTTTTTTTCCCACTAAGGAGTACGATATTTGTCACATACTTCAAGATTTTTTTTATCATCCTAAAATAACATACAATCATTTGAACAAAATTTTATCTTCTCATAATCAAAAAATAAAATTTTAATGATCTTTTTCCTTATAAAATAATGTAGGCAACAACACATCATCAAGAAATAGAATAGCCAATAACTTGAACAATATAGTAAATGAATTCTCAATCCATTCGTTCAAACATTTTAAATGGTATAAATTAATATAAAAGCTAGTCTCAAAAATGTATTCTATCCTAGGTATAACTCTTCATTTATTTTTTTCAATAAATCATTAAACATATTTGACTCTTGGATGAACTCGCTCATTATATTTCTCTACATCAAACCTTTCACATTGCTTATTCATTTCATCATTTATTTGTGCCTCATAAGTTCTATTGCATTCATAGTCACTCAGTCTATCCATATTTATTGTCACTTTATCATCATATTGTCCAACTACACCAAAAACATCATGTAACAATCCCACCATGTCATCCGATTGTTATGGATTCACTTTAATAAAAGTGGGTTCCTAAACAAAACTCACTCCTTGTATATGCGAGGTATGAATAGAAAAAGATGACCAAATGTTATTAATAGAAGAACTCTCTCCATAAAAAAAACCCATCGAATGTACCTCCTTATAAAGCCATTATAAATTAAGTGAACTCTACAATCTTCATCTCGTTTGCAAAGAAAATTAGCATATTAAGTGCAAGGAAAAAAAATTTCATTGTAAGATATATTATAAATTGCTAATTCAAGAAATTTCTCTACTCTTTTTTATATATATATATATATTCACTAGTTGTAGTCTTGTTCATCCAATCCTTATCCATTTCATAAATCTTGTAGAATCCTTAAAAGAAGGCAATAAATTTTTTCAACAATACAACTATATTCAGCTACTTTGTTTTATTAAATTCAATAGATAAAGATAGCCATGCTTTTGTGAATGAAATCGTATTGCTAATATAGCAAAACAAAATCTTAATGCTTACTTGATGAATTTGATTAATCTTAGATTCAAAATTGACGAGAGGAATAATCTTAGTGGTCCGTTTAATGTTTTCCTTCGAATCAATTGGTTTGTACAAAACGTCAATCTTCCTTTGTCTTTGGGCAACTTTTATGTTGAGAGAAAGAGAACAAAAGACAATTGACTATATAAAGCAAAAATCAAATGTCCCTTCTAAGCCATGGATAGATGACATTTATGTTTAAGGCAACAAATTAGATTAAAATAATCGAACGAGAGAACGTAGAGGGAAGAAGAAAAAAGAAAACAAGAAGAAACCTAATGAAAGGGATTGAAGAAAAAGAAAAAGAAGAAGAACAAATCTAAATAATCAAATTGAGGCGTGATTTTCTCCTAAAATGATCAAATTGAAAAAGAGAAGGAAAAAAACCAAGATATGAAACATAGAAGTCGAGGGGAGGGGTGAGATGGTGAAGCGATTCTTTTCACTTTTGAGAACTCAAAATAAGAAAGAAGAAAGAAAAAAAAAAAGGAAGAAGAAGAAAGAATTGTGAGCTGTACAACAATGACTACCTCCTCCTTTTTTTTTTTTTTTTTTTTTTGTATAAATTGTGTGTGAGATAAAAATTCTTAAACTCTAAGATAAACTTCTTGACAGCTCCAAAGATTTTTCTTTTAGTATAGTGATTATACAGAAAGATTATAACTTAATAAAAGAATTCTTTCCAAAAATAGAACTATCTTAAAATAATAATAATAATAATAATAATAATAATAATAAAAACAATTTGCAGACGTAATGCAGTGAGTTTGCCAGTAGACCGAAAAAAGACAGTTCTCAAGATAGGCTATTAAATTTTAAAGCCACTACTGCCAACAACAAAATCTATAACAATAAAGAGTACTGCTTTCAAGACAACCCTTCAAGCCTCCAACTTTTGCTTCCAAAACCACGCTATTGACGTCCGCTGCTTCACGTCAAGAACTCTCAGGAATGTTCTATGTTACCTGCACTCTGCCATATGTGTACCTACTGCCTCCACTACCGAAAAAAAAAAAAAAAAAAAAACTAAAAAATTTCTCAATATAAAAAAGGTAAGTTTATGAGCAAAAACAACTCGTTGATCAACTGATCTTTAACCTAACACCGAGTTTGGTACGCAATATGAATATATATAGAGTTAATAAGTTATTGGAATGATCCACCATTTTCATTAATTATCACAATTCATTCAATATTTTGGAAGGAACATGCCAATCCATTTTCTTTTCCTACATCTTTTCAATCAAACAAAATGCACAAGATTGCGTGCTTTCATGCTGCAATATCAAAATCACATGGAATTCCGGTGGCAGAGGGCCAGCGGCATCAAAGAGCATGAAAAATTAAAATTATATATATATAAAGCATTTCAAACATAAATTATGCATATGAAACGCTATTGTTAGCTTGTCATATCAACACATAGACAAATATTTTTTTAGGCATCGAACCCACTAAAAGGGAAATTCTTTTTGCCCACTGCTTTAATTGTTGAAAACAACTTCTCCACCCATATTGTTTGTTATATATATATATATATATATATATATTATACGAAGATCAGGACATAACATAAGCCTAGATTTGAGAAACAAATATTATTTAAACAAACAAATGGAGCTCAAGAGGAATCCTTTTTATTAATTATGAGCCGCATCCTTCAACTTTGAGTTGACTACATATGCAAAAACTACTAACAAATATAGAATTCCATGATGTTTTTAGAGAAATATTTGCATATTGATGACTCAAGTGGCAGAGAGCTATATAATGATCTACGAATTAAAAAGAATTTTTATTCAATGGTGGTCCTGAAACAATTCTGTATTTTTAATTTGGACCCAAAGTTCAGGTCAGGATGACCCATTTGATGAGTTTGACCTACCCTTGAATTTGTCCTCATTGGATTATTATTATTATTATTATAGATCAGCTCAATGGACACTATATATTTTAATTTGCTGTATTAAAGGCCAAAAGTCTAGATCATTTAATTCTTAAAAAAAAAAATCAATAAATTTATCAAATTTAAAGATTTTAAGTTTAAGTTTTGTAACTTATGATTAGTTTTATTCACATAAGTATTTTAAATAAACACGTTAAGATGATTCTAAATATACATGATAATGCGACAAGTATAAAATATTAGCTATATATAGAATCATTTTTTCAAAAAAAAAAAAAGAAAGAAAGAAAAATCTACCAAGGTTTCAACAATAACATTACACGTGTCTTAATGTCCACTGAATGTATGGTTTCCACAGTGGGGGTGCACGTGTCTCAACGTTCGTTAAATTTATGGAAAACCTGTGAAACCATTTTTGCCTCTAGTATTGTATTTTGGAAGGCACCATAGTTATAGTATAAATACCTGGACATAACTCACGCTTAAGCAGGGTAATTAACCGAAACAAGTTGATTTCGATTGGTAACCTCATGTCATAAATCCAAAAAATCTTTTAGAGTGGTTCTTACCAACCTTCATTTTCAAAGTGTAAATATATGTAGTAGATAAACACTTGAATAGCTATGTGGTGCTCAGTACAGCCAGCCTAATAAAATCTAGCTTTGCACAGATATATATAGTTACAGAACAACCCATTTCTCCACTACCTGCAGCCCTTCATACATACTCATGACTTCCACAATGTCTTTCTAGCTTTTTTCTTCACCTCTCTCTCACCCTCCTCCTCCTCCTCCCTGCAAAAAGAGAGGTTGTACTGCTTATTCTCCTCCTCGTCTCGCCGCATATTTGATGATAGAAAGGTATGGTGGTCCATGAAATTAAACATGTGTGGGGTAATTGAGTTTTCGTACGGTCTGTGCTAATTGAGTGCATACATTTTTCTCTGTTTTTTTATTTTTTTCATTGTCATGTTTAACTTAATTGCAGTCACTCAAATTCTAACATCAATACATTTCTTGACAGGTAAAATACTTATAAATAAAGATATAGAGTGGATCTTTTTCTTAATTTGGTCGACGACTACGTCTCAGCAAATTCAAAAATGACCATGAGGCTTTCTTTGTCTGCCTACAAACAAGTGCAGCCTCGTGTGAATTTCCAAGGGGGGCTAAAAATGAAACCTTTCTTTCGTCGAAAAGACAAGGTTGTGTTCGTAGTTGGGCCGACTGGCACTGGCAAATCAAGGCTGGCTATTGACCTAGCAACCCGCTTCCCAGCCGAGGTTGTCAATTGTGACAAAATGCAAGTCTATAAAGGCCTCGATATAGTGACAAACAAGGTGACTGAAGAGGAGTGTCGCGGCGTGCCTCATCATTTACTTGGCATAGCAGACCCTAATGCAAATTTCACTTCCGATGACTTCAGGCACCATGCATCCCTTGTTGTAGAATCAATCGTCACGCGTGATCGGCTACCGATCATCGCCGGTGGATCCAATTCTTACGTCGAGGCCTTAGCAAATGATGATCCTGAATTTCGATTAAAATATGAATGTTGCTTTCTTTGGGTGGATGTGTCACTACCTGTACTCTATTCATTCGTATCAGAGCGGGTCGATCGGATGGTGAAAGCAGGCTTGATTGATGAGGTGAGAGATATGTTTGATCCTGCTAAATTTGATGATTATTCACAAGGAATCAAGCGGGCAATTGGGGTTCCTGAATTGGATCATTTTTTACGAAATGAGGCGCTTGTGGATGCTAAAACTAGTAGAAAGCTTCTTGATGAGGGTATTGAAAAAATTAAAGACAATACTTGTAGGTTAGCTTGTCGACAATTACAAAAAATCCATCGACTTCATAGCATATGGAATTGGAACATGCACCGAATCGATGCCACTCAAGTTTTCCTAACAAGTGGAAAGGAGGCTGACAATCTATGGGACGAACATGTGGCAGGACCGAGCACCATGATCGTGAACCAATTTCTTTGTGACGAAAATCATGTATCTCCCATTATACCATCGGAGTCGGTCAATATGGTGCCCATCTCTGTCCCGGCCATGGCTGTCGCTGCCACTCGATAAGCCACGTCAACAAAATTTGCTGACAAATCACCACCACCACACCATCAATCACAGTAGCACCATTATGCCATTTGACACTTTTTCCACGTGGCAGGCTGTGATTTATTGTCTTTTTATCTTTGAGAGAGAGAATTTTGGTACTCATGTAAAAGTTGGAGAGAATAAGAAGAAAAAAGAAAAGTTTTATTTTACGGTTTGGGGCGATTTGTCAGGTCGTTAAGTACCTAAATTTGGCGGGCCGTACATTTAAGGAAGCTTCGTACTAGTGTGTGCTGCAGCTGCATCATGAATCATGATACAGTAGGCTCTAGAGGGTGGATGGTGGGGTCCATGTTTGTGATTTGCAGCTGTATGTCTTTTTCTCAGCACAATAGCTACATGGTATATATACAATGGTGATTGGAATATCTAAGGGTGTGTTTTTTCTTCATTGTTCGTTTGCATTATTTACATTCCAATAGCATGATTAATCACCACCTAAAGGTTTCCTCTGATTTGGTTTGATGTTGGTATAATATGCTTTATTTGACTCTTGATGTGGGATCAACGGTTATGATTGAACATGTAATAAAACTTACTTTGTAATTCAAGATCTATCTATTTATATATTATACATGCATTATCAAGAAAAAAGAAAAAGAAAAAGGAAAAAAATATGTAAGGTATGTAAAAGTATAAATAAGAATCATCCATGAAATGTATCTTACCTGATGTTTTCGAAAAATTGTCGAATTCGAATGTATTTTGTATAAAATAAAGAAAAAAATTAATGGAATTGGAATCTTGAAGAAAAGAGACAATAGGGCAAAAACATGTGTATGGTGGGTCCAATCAAGAATTGTTTGTCCTTTTCAATCCACACGATTCCAAACGGTATAAAATGGCATGGCTTTATACCCACTCACCACCCTCCATATTGAAAAGGTCTGTGGAACCCAGAAAACATCTTAAGTTTCACATAAGGAAAAAGTAAAATAGCAAATGGGTATATAAAGAAAGGGTCAAAATCACCCTTTGATAAAGGGTGTACCTTAATTTGGCTCTGCACCTCATATACATATCACAAAGGGGACAACGATTTCTAAAGTTTCCATGGGTATCCATCATTTTTTAATTTCATTTCATTTTCTTTTCTTCTTCTTAACAATTTTTGGCCAAGGAAATTAAGTCCGCGGGAATCTGCATACATCCCATATTTTATGGCGTTAGTAATGTTGCGAATGAGTATCTATATTAAATGTGTTCTTGCATTAATTTAATATAAAAAATGATAAATTTAGTTTTAATTAATGTAAAAATTGATTTAAAAATACTTTCTTATCTATAAATATCAAAAAAGAAAAAAAAAACAAAACAAAACAAATAGATACATGTACATATGTTTTTGAAATAAAATAAAATAATACAAAATCACATGCTAGACTCTCTGTTTATGACACTTGATTCATATAATGGGAAATCACTCTTTTCCTAATATATCAAAAATAAATAAATAAATGAACATTCAAAAGCCATCAAATGAATGGTGCAGAAATTTCCGTGGTTATAACTATATTATACTAGTTCTTGTGTGTGTCATATTTTGTCAAGACGTCTTGCATAATTAATAATAATTGTCTTTCCAATGATTTTATTATACATTATTCTTGTTAGATATAGTGTAACTTAAGTAAATCCAATAAAATAAAACTGATGATGAAAAAATTTGTAGAAACAATGCTAAGTAATTATAGCAAGTATTTTATGTTAATTTGAATAAAATACCGCTACAAGACATGAATTTCATGATCATTGATCAAGTGGGATCCTCTTAGTAGTCCACTTGATCAACGGTCGGCACGAATCATTTTCTATTTCTAACAAAATGAGTTTCTTCGTATTTTAGTGGCTACGGAATATAATACCTTCCAAGTTTCTTACGACACTTTATTTGTAAGCTTAATAATTCAATATCAATAAAGCCTTGAAGGTTTTGTTAGCTTTTTAACATATACTTCAATTATATGATTCAAAACCCTACCACACCACACTTGAAACTTAGACGAACGAATGCATCTACACTACTTGGAAAACACCAATGCTACTTAGAAAACACCAATGAGAGGAACACGATCAATCGCAATCTGAGCAGTCAAACCAACCCCTACCAAATGACAAGAAGAGAGAGTACATCTAACAAACAAGAACATGCTCCTAAGGCTACTTTTTTCTAACTTGCATCAATAATGATGTCATTATGTTTTCCCAACTATGATCTATCAACCTCCATAACACTTATTCCTCTTACTAGTATTAGAGGTTGTTGGTAGCAAAGGATAAGATCATTCTAAATCTCCTTTCATGTAACTTGATGAGTCTCTAAACTATATAAACAACAAGAAACTTAAGGTTAAGGATTCCAAATCTTGCTTTTTGCTATTATTGTTCATCGATCTTATTCCTCAATCTTGAACCACAACTTTTGTTTATTAAAGTAATACTCTAGACCCATATATTCCTATTCATTAGTCGTTTATTATGCTAACTATCACTACCGTAAAAATACCAATTAGCGACGATATTTAGCGACGATTAAAATCCGTTGCTATTTAGCGATACATTAGCGACAAATTATAAAAAGTTGTGTTTTGTGACGGATTAGCGACGTACTAATAAGGGACACTAAGCAAAATTAAAAATTCATCGCTAAATAAGGCGAGAAAAAAAGGCGCTAAAATTAGCGACGACCATGTGGTCGCTAAATGAAAATATTAGCAACGAAATTTTTTCCGTCGCTAAAATTCCCGTAATTTAGCGAAGTTAGCGATGGATTTTGGAATCCGTTGCTAACTTTGGGATTTTGGAGGGAAATTTCCCCCAAAGTTAACAAAGGAGTTGGCGTATGTGGCTAACGTTTCAAATTTTGGGGGAAATTCCCCCTAAATTAGCGATGAATTAGCGATTTTGTCACTAATTAGCAACGGATTAACGATTCCGTCACTAATTAAATCCGTCGCTATTTTGAAATTTTGGGTGAAAATTTTCACACCCATACGGTTCAAATTAGCAACGGATTTGTAATTCCGTCGCTAATTAGTGATAGATTGGCGATTCCGTCGCTAATTCGGGTGAAACTTTTTCCACCCACACGGTTCAAATTAGCAACGGATTTGCGATTCCGTTGCTATTTTGAAATTTTGGATTGAAATTTTTCCACCCATACGGCTCAAATTAGCGATGGATTTGCGATTTAGTCGCTAATTTCAAGTTGAAATTTTCCCACCCACATGGTTCAAATTAGCGACTGAATCACCAATCACCCGACGCTAAAATTTTCACTCAAAATTAGCGATGGAATTGCAAATCCATCACTAATTAGCGACGGATTTGCAATTCCATCGTAAATTTTGAGTGGAAATTTTTCCAATCATACTGGCTCAAATTAGCGACGGATTTGCGATTCCGTCGCTAATTAACGATGGATCGGGGATTCCGTCACTAATTTTAGGTGAAAATTTTTCCACCCATATGGTTCAAATTAGAGACGAAATTGCCAATCCGTCGCTAATTAGCCACGTAATCACAAATCCGTCACTAATTTTGGGTGGAAATTTTCCCACCCACACCATTCAAATTAGCGACGAATTTACGATTTCGTCGCTAATCTCCGAGCCTATAAACACACAGCTTCTCTTCTTCTTTCCTATTCGGTCCCCTCTCTCCTTCACCCAAAAATCCACCATCAGCTAGAAAACCACCACCCACGCCGCCCTTCACCACCAAGTGACTTTCTAAACCATTCAACTCAATAAGGTGCATCTTTCTCCCTCTAAATACAATGAAATCTCTACTCTCTCTCCTTAATGTTTTTAGTAAAACTTTCTCTCTCTAACTCTATTATTTTTTTAAAAAAATTAAATGAATGTTATACACTTTTAGGTTAATTTTATTATTTGTTAGTTGATTAATTGTTTGGATGTTGTTAATTTTATTATTATATTAATTTTTAATTATGTTAATTTATTTGTTAATTATTAGTGTAAATTTGTTAATTATTTATTTAATTGTTAGATTATTTTTTTTAAGTGTTATTTTTTAATTGTGTTAATTTGTAGGTTAATTTTTACCTAAAATTTTATAATTATGTTAATTTTTTAGGTTTAATTTTATTAATGTAATTTTTTAAGTAATTTAGTTAAGGTTGATTTATTGTTAATTTATTTATTTTTAATTTTTAGATTAAAATTTAATTATTTAATCTTTAATTGTTATTTTAGGTTAATTAATTAATTATGTTAATTATTAGGTGAATTTTATTAGTTGTTTGTTTTAAGTTAATTTTTAAATTATATAATTTTGTATGTACTTTAGTTAAATTTTGTTGATTATTTCTTAAGAAATTTTTAATTTATTGGTTGCCTATAGATCCGTCGACTAGTTAGCAATCTACTCGTTCATTTCACACAACCTAATGTTCAGCTCTCCACCCGATCCTCCCGCCAAGCCCTCCACATAGTACCAAAATGAGGATATAGGATTATACGAGTAGGATGAGTGAGGATGAGTGATAGAACAAACATTTAGTGACTTTATTTTATTTTACCGAATCTATTACCGAATGTTAGTGTTAAAATTAATTCATTTTCAATCTATACGTTATTACTTTTAATTGTTAACTATTAAATCCAATATTAATTATTAAATATTAAATGCAATATTAATAATTTAAAAAAACAAAATAAAATGAAAAAATAATATATTTTTTTTGAAAATATAGCGATGGAATAGCGACGGATTAGTGATAATTTTGTTTTTCAAAATAACGATGGATTGATTAGCGATGAAATAGCGATGAATTTATTTTCAAAATTAGCGACGGAATAACGATGGATTAGCTATGAACAAAATGATCGATCCAATGGCAAGATTAGCGATGGACTTTTTTGGTTTAGCGATGGGTGTTCGTTGCTAAATGTCGCGATGAATTGAGTATTTCATTGTAAAAAATTAACGACAAGAAA